TTGTAAATATGATGACATTTTCTGCTTTGTTTTCAGATTCTGGTACAGCATATTAAGACAGTTCTCCCTGGGTTGAAGTCATGAATTAATGCTGCGCTTGTCTCTGTTGCGAAGGAGCATGCAAGATATGGAGAAATTGCTGAATCAAAGGTTTTTTCTTTAATTATCTTGCTTGAAAAGCAATTTTATATCAATTTCTCGTCTGTGTTCTGTGCACTTGGGTTCTTTAAGAAATTGGGAGTGTCTTTCTCCATGCAGAGAAACTCAAACAGTAATATTGTATTTGTGACCTTGCTCTGCCTCATCCTGTTTTGCTAATTCAGCATGACATGATCTACGTTTTAGATGTATCTAAGAAATGGGTGTTACTATTTGTTACTATTTCTTACAGTTGGGTGTTCCGGACAGTAGTGGACTCGTATCTTGGTTTCTAATTCTTTGTCTTTTCGTGATGTATAGACTGGGCAGGGAGCACTTCTGGTTAACATTCTTTCCAAGTACTCCGAAGGTATGCGGCCTCTAGTTTTAGATGTATCGAAGAAATTGAGGAAGTTAAGTACCCACTTTTGCTAATATGATGCTAGCTAAACCCTTCCATAGAGCACTCTCATTTAATTTCTGTCTGTTCTGAATTGGCTTCATTTCTAGGCATGACTCTTTTTTCTCTCTTACATTTAATAAGAATGCCGCCTTTTTTCAAGGACTAAAATTCATTAGACTAGAGATTGAACCAAACCGGAGTGTGCGTACGTTTATGGACACGAAATTTTCACTTGATTATAGACTAAATTTGGCCCGGCTGTGCGTGCACAGCCAAAAGCCAATTAGTATTAGGTATGTAAAGATATACCTCATATATTTATATGTATATATAATGTAGTAGTCTCCTCGGCTTAGTTCATCACTCTCCGAACCATATTTCCTCCTTTTGAATTCAAATGTTTCACACTAGAATTTATTGTGATTGGTGTTAAGCTTTTGTGCTTATACGGATGGCACCAGCTGAATTTATATAACTCTATGCAGGTTGTGCAAATAAGATTGGTAACACGCATCAGAATTTTCAAGTTGATGGTCGTGTTTGTGTTTATGCGCTTATCCTTTTGTAATCGTTTTGGCTTAAAAAGTTTTAAATTGCCGCGAGGCATGTAAGGCGGAGACTTGTGCTTTTCATGACTGTGTTTTAGGCGTTTATTTTTTTGTAGTCGTTATGGAATACATAGATATTTTGATCTTAAATATTTTGCAGCACAGTACTCAGTGGATCTTCTGTAGAGAAACTTCAACAGAAAGAAATCAATATAACTATCCTATATGTAAGGCAAACAATTGGGGATTCCCGACCTGATAATATGCAACGTAGTTGAATCATTTTTTTCTAAAAAAGTATATACATATTAATTTGTAGGACCACTTATATTAAAGCATTTCAAGTTTGTGATATCCATGTTTTTAGAACAGTTTGCTTATACTGCACACTGGGGAACAATTAACTCAATTATTTTCAAGATTTATGGATATGCTAATTACATAAATCGTTCCTAGAACACAACAGATGAATAGTTGAAATTCAAATACCTTAATTTGCACAATGGGAATAACTATAATAGAGATCGCTCCAATACATCAACATACCCAATATATTTCCCAACAGGTTAGGGTCTGGGGGTCAGTTGTACGCAGACCTTACCCTTGTAATTATACAAGGAGGTTGTTTCCATAGCGACCCAAGGTGCGTTGCGTCGATTGATATATTTTTGTAGAAACTTCACAAATAGAAGAAGCACTAGAATTTAATTGAGTCATTTTGATCTAGTCTATCCTTAGCACTATGTTAGAAGAATTGTCAACAATGACTCTTCCAACTCCATATGCAATGGACATAGAGATCGCTCCAATGATAAAGCTAAAAGTTTGTGGCGAATAGTGAAGGATTTGTATAGGAAAGACAGGCAAAGCTTAATATATACTAACAATTAGTGCCAACAAATAATAATAAAAAAAATAAAAATTAGTGTACCAAGACCAACAATCAAATGGCATTTAAATGTATTCAGTGATCTTGAACATGTTTTGCTCGATTTTTTTGATTATTAGACTATTATCTTATTAATCTTTATTATTCATGTGTGAATTCTGCAATTTATTTGAATCTAAACTTGGGGGCATATAAATTGCATTCAAAAAGATAATGGGCTGAATAAAAAGTTAAAGAGGAGTGATCACGTACTTTAGTAAGTGCAGCTACAAGATAAAGGCCATCAGAAACTATAAACCAAATTTTGTTCTTGTTGCCATCACAACAATCACTATCCAAAATGTAAGTGGTAAAATCTCCATTCTACTCCCCTTAAAATCCGAGCTGCTGCTCCTTTGTTTCTCAAAAATCTCTTTTTTCTTCTACAAAATCTCTTTTTCACTACATCGGAAAACAAAAGGCAAAGAAAATAAGAAATCAAAAAACATAAAAGCAAAATAAATTAATATAAGAAACAATGAGAGAGAGAAGTAGTTGGCTATGAAGGGCATGCTAGTGAAGATGGTATGACCACATATTGGTCACACGGGGACGTCACGTGGTCTTGACACAATCAATAAATTTGTCAGACACATGATCGAAGCACAATGGGCTACGTAAAGAATCAGATGCAACCAATTTCATTTGGACATTGGCAGTTGGTGCTCACCTGGGGGCCCAACTTGTGCCGTGAAAAGGTCGTTGTTGACTTGCACAAAACCCGTAGAACCAAGGTATACATTGAATGCACATGACGTCATTGATGATAATTCTTCCAGATACAAGTTCCAGTGAAAAAGCGTGACGTTCTTCAATATGTTGTGCAGCGATTTAAGAAAAGAGTGGCCAATATCATTATCTCTCTCCTTTTAAGTATTTTTTCAATGTCCTGCACTATAGGTGGACTGTCGACTTTCTTACTAATGACGGTTTGAAACATTTCTTGGACTACCCTAAGAGAGTTGACGGTAGGATTATGGCAGAAGATTAAAAGTCTTGTAAAAAATACCGATTGTGGTATGTAGCAAAGTCCATGGGGGACTCCTTGAAGTAAGAAAACTCGTAGATATCTTAAGGCACTCCATACGATTTGTTGAGGTAAGAGATTGTAGATGAATCCTTAAGGCACTCCAATAAGCTTAGTAGATATGAAGTTGATAAGATAAATGATAGATTGTTGTTAACACATTAATGTCTTGTTGAAAGTATCATATCATGATTGATATGGTTACCGTGACGTAGCAATCTCATGTTCCATTAGAATTTGGAGGTCCAAACAATATAGTTGGTTCTTTATGATTTTCTTTTTCCACATTTTTTTATATGTCATGAGCATGTGATTTAGCTTTGTTTAATGCCATCCCATTTTACTTGTAGAATTAATTTTGCAACAAGCTGATGTATTATACTCTCTAGTAGCTTGGATAGACTGCAATAAGTTTCTATTTAGCAATGGATATATGAGCGTGCAGGTTATGTTAGGAATGAAATACAATGTGTTAGTAGATTTATTACTTTGATTCCAGCAGCTTGGTGATCTATTTTTGCTTCTAGCTCTATAATTTTTGTTTCTTAGTACAATATGCTTTTATGAACGTGGCATAATGTCACATATATATTTTATCAGTTTCTTTTATATCATGCAAGGACATTCAAGATAATTGCTAAAGTTATTGTGAAGTTGTACCGAGAATAATTATGTGGAAGAGGAAGCGTTGGGAGTTGATGTTGATTTGTCTATTGATGTAGATGATCATGCTCGCTTTTTATGTGGAAGAGAAGCGATGGGAGTTGATGTTGATTCGTCTATTGATGTAGATGAGCATGCTCGATCTTTATGTTAAAAAAATTCAAAACGTATTACCATATTTTGCTTCATTTTGGGGACTTATGTACTTTGAACATAGGATCCAATTCAATAAAAATGTATTTAGTTCCACAGTACTATGTAATAATTTGATTAAATCTGAATCAAATATTTAGTGTCATTGTGTAGTTTTTATGTTGATTTGAGTTATAATTGTTGAATGTCAATTTGAGTCCATGCTTTGATTTAGTTTGATTTGAAATGTATATTGAAAAAAGACGACAAAGATGCTACCTCTTTGATTCCAGGTCCAGCAACCCATCTTCCGGACAAAGTAATGGCACGAAGTCTCATATGTCCACTGCTATGCTAATAACTGGAGAAGAACATCAGTGAAAGTATTAAGGAGAAGCTAGCTGGTTTCTCATAATCACGACTTTTTAATTAATTAATACATACTATGTCAGAAACTGGAAATAAAACTGGTTGTTGGTCGAAGTTATAAAATTTGGGCTCTCTTTCTTTGTCCAATAACAGTATCAGAGCAAAAAGGACCTTTATGCACAACACTAAAATTATAAGTCAGCCATACAGAAATTAGATAAGATCATTCATAAAAAAAAATAATAATAATAACACCTTATCAAGTGATGCACAAGGAGGACCAATAATTCCCTAAATTTTGATACTCTTTGAACAGCTGATTTCAAATATACCAGTGCACAAAAGTAAATGACTAAGTTGGCCTCCATCAAATAAACAAGACCTCATGAGTGATAATTTCAACTAGTCAGCAAAGCTGTTGCAGCAAAAGACATAGCAGCAGCAGCAGCAGCTGGAAAATCCAAAACAATGCCAAGTTGCTGCTGGAAAATCCAAAACAATGCCAAGCATGGAAAAGCGGGAAAAGAAACATATGATCACGCAAAGTTCCTTCAGCCAGTTTATCTTCGAAACTTACAAGCATGAGAGAAAATGAATACAGGAAATCACAATTTCATAAACTCTCATTGGACAAGATATTACTTTCAACATCAGAGAACACATCATTTTAACTATTATTCAGTTTGTCAAAGGCTTACAAGAGACCAAAAAAATCGTTTTAATTTACATCCGTTCTAAAGCTACAAGACTATTATCGAGTTTTTTTTTTTTTTTTTTTCCAATCCACACTTGCTAATTTTTTTCTCCTGACGGTGTCTTCCTTTTGATTTGAACTTGGCAGGACATAGAGCGACTAGCGTGTGCCGGGTCACCAACCGGCGTGCAGTCCAGGAGGACGAGACTCTCTTGGTGATCATTGAGAGACGCCACACCCCCATGTCGTCGTAGTTGAGAGAAAGGCAAGGGCTCCAAGTCCTTAAACTGCCTAGCCCTTGGGTCATATGCAGATAAGCAACTACAGTAATCATCATCTTCTCGGGCCTTGTCCACGATCAACTCCCCATTCTTCAAAACACACACAAACTCAGTTGGCAGGCCTATTTCCTCGACTCTGTACATTTTCTTCCAGCCGCCGGCAGCTATCTGCACCCAAATGGTCCAAGAGAACTTTTTTGAGGCCAGTCGGCCCAGTCCCACAAGCAACGAGTCCCCCAGTACAGTAACCCGGGGAAAAGTAAACATGGTGTCAGGATCCTGTGGCGGTAAGGCCACCTCTTCAAAAACCTCTTCCGCCACGTCAAACGAGTAAAGGCTGAAGATACTATACATGCGCCTCCCATAATCTGCTTTACAGAGGAGCCAGTGCATCTTGCCTCCCACGAAAGCGCCCGTAGTATGAAATGATATTTCGCGGTCAGGCCACGGGTGCACAAGGAAATTACCTTTGCGCCACGCGTTGGAGTTCAAGGAATAGACGTTGTACTCTGGGACTGTAACGACTCTGCCGAATGTAAGGACCACAATTTTGTAGTCGTCTGTTGTGGGGTCGTATCCAAACTCGATGGACGATTTATCTGGTTTGGTCAAGGTGAGGTCCGGTAGGTAGACGTGCCTCCGGATGGTGGGGTTCCATAGCATGACGGATATGACGGCTTGCACATCGTAGGCACACGTTAGAGACACAGATTCGCATATCAAGCCGTTGATGGAGCCCACTATGTGAGGAGACGTCAAGCGTGGGTATGCGAAAGGGAAATCGAGAGGCCCCAACCAGGAAGGGTCTGCAGGGCGATGGTGATCATTGTCAAGCAACATGTACCACTCTACAGGATCGTAAGAGTCGAGGAGTTGAGGGTATTTTGTGGTGAGCAAGACTGTGGAGGAGTAGCGCTTTATGGAGAGGTGCAAGGACCTGAATTCGGGGCTGCCTATGATGGACTTCCACGATTTGCATACTGTCCGAAGACGGAGCAAAGGTTTTACGGGCAGTCTCGCCAGGATTCCAACCAACACATCTTCGCTCAAGTACGGACAGGCTTCCATAACCTTTTTTTTTTTTT